CCCGCCTGGCAGTTAAGAGGTTTTATTCCCTCCCTAACTTCAGGGGAAAATCCCTACCTAGGGAAACAACCTTTCTCGGAGAGGTGACCTTGGTTAAAACACATAGTGCCAAGAAGGTGAGCAAATATATTAAGAACAGTATGCCATATATGCCAGGTCCCTTGAAACAGCAAGGATGGACTGGCTCCCAGCAAAAACCTACATTTACCATACAACCTCCCCCTCCTAGGTACTGACCTAAGTGAAACAAAAACTTATATTCATACAAAATCTTGTTCACAAATGTTTCTTGTAATTACTCATAATTACTAAAAACTGGAAATAACCCAAATGTGAATGGATAAACAAACTGTGGTACATCCATACAATAAAATAGTCAACAAACAGGAAACTACTTATACATACAACTAAAGGCCTGATGCACAAAATTTGTGCAAAGGGCTTGGCCCCCACAGCTGCAGTGGCTGCCTCTGCCTCATCTGGTCTAATTAACATATTATGCTTTTATTATTTTAGGTAATATGGATGAATCTCCAACACATTGTGCTCAGTAAGAGAAGTCAGACTCAAAAGTTACATATTGTAAGATTTCATTTATATGACTTTCTGGAAAAAGCAAAACCAGAGGGACAGAAAACAAATCAGTAATTACCTGGGGGTTAGGGGTAGCAGGAAAGAGGACTAACAAGTGACACAGAATTTTTTGGAGTAATGAGCTCTTGGTGGTGGTAATGATTACATGAAGGTATGCATTTGTCAAAACCCAGAACTATATATTAAAAGGGTGAGTTTTACTGTATATGAATTATATATTAATTTTAAAAATGTTTAAAGTACTAAGTGACCACCATGTGCCATAAGCTTTGAGTCAAGACACTTGGGATGCAAACAGTAACTTCAACGAGCTGACTTACATGCATGGGGATTACCCATGATTCACATGTGTAACTCAACATTTCCTGTAGCATAATTTTCAAAAAGTAGATGTTCAAAAGGAAAGGATGAAACGCAGATTCAAGTAGATCCCAGACAGGAGAGCACAAGTAGGGGAAATATATTTCTAAGCACTTAGTCTGAAAAGTTTTGATGAACAGATTCCATAACTACATAAAGTGAAACCTAACATAGTTTGGGGAATAAAAAGGAGGCATTACACTTAGACCCTCATATTCCTAGTAGAGTAGAAGTCACCCATACTTTAATGAAACTGGGTAGCAGTAACACTTAATGAGCACTTAGTCTGTGCCTACCCATGTACTAAGAGATTCATAAGCAATTATGTCATTTAATCTTATCAAAAGCTCCAAGATGATTGTGGTAGTTTTAAAATTTGTCCACAAATTATTTGATACTCTTCCTTTAAGAGCTTAATCTCCCACCCTCCCCAACACCCCTGAGGGTGGACCAGACTAATGATGTACTTCTAACGAACAGAATAAAGCAAAAGTGATGATATGCAACTTTGGAGACTAAGTCATAACATTCCTCCTCATTCTCTCATTTGGATCACTCACTCTGAGGGAAGTTAGCTGCCAGGTTATGGGGTAGTCAAGCAGCCTATGGAAAGGACCATGTGTCAAGAAACTAAAAGCTTCCTGCCAAGATCCAACAAAGAACTACAGCTTCCCGCCAGCAGCAATGTGAGTGAGCAGATTTTCCAGTCCAAGTCAAGCCTTCAGATGGCTGCAGCCGTATGAGACTCTGAGCTGGAATTTCCAGCTAAGCTGCTCCTACATTCCCGACCCACAAAAACTGTGAAATTCAATAAATATTTGTTGCTCTAAACCATTAAGTTTTGAGATGATGTGTGACACAGCAACATGTTTTATTTATTATGCCCATGAACTCAAGAGAAAACTGAAGTTCTAAGAGGCTCAGCAACTTGTCGAAGGTCACAGAGCTGGTAACAGCTTTCCAGCTCGGTTCAAATCCAGGGACTGATCCCATGGCCCACACTGTGAGAATCAGCACATGCTGAAGTATTCTTCTTCAACAACAACTAAATCCACCATATACAAGTTTTTTTATTATCTGTTAGTCCGAACTAGTATTATCATAAGGTAATTAAATTTAACTCTATAAACCTCAAATTCAGAAACTTGCCCAACTTACCTACTACAATAAAGTTTCCGCACTTAGACACACATGCTGAGGATTCAATTCGATCTCCCAAAAGCTGTTCCCATTTCACCTTCCCAGAATAAAGGTCAACTGCCATCATTCTATGAGAATGGGAGCCAATGTACACAGTTGCAGATGACTTATCGACAGCTGGTATTACGACGAGAGGTGAAGCATCTACACATTTGCCTGTGTCTGCCCTCCACCTGACTCGTAATTCCATTGTCTCAGCCGTTATCACAGATGTTCCATCTTCATAAACTTTTTCAACACATGTTGAATCTTCTGACTGCCCAAGAAGAGCTGGAGGATTTAAGCTTTTCACTTTTTTAACAGCAGTCTGTGAAATTAAATCAGAAGAATAGGCTGCAGGGCAATGTTTTAACTTAGTTAAAAACTTAGTAGCATTCACAGACAAAATCTGACTCCCTCTGCTCAGTGCCATAAAAGCATTTATCCCATTGTCTAAATTTAAAGGCATGTCTGACTTCTGATGTAAAGATTTTCCAGTGGTTTCCTCTTGATTAACGTTGCTGAATTTTCTTTTAGTGGCATAATTCTCACGAAATGTCAGATCTTCATCTGGAAATACTGTTTGAAGGATGTGATTGTAAATCTCTAAAATGGAATTGCTAAGGATAATTTCCAGAAGCCCAGGTACTGATGTGCCAACAAGTTTTTCAATCTCATTGAGGAGCCGTATGGACTTCAAGGAATCTCCACCACTATTTAAGAAGAGTGACTCATCAGGAACCTTCAAAGAATCTTCTGAGAGACTCAGAATAGACTACAAATGAAAGAAGGGAGAAATATGGTGAAATAAGGGACCAGACCAAAAAAATTCAACATTCACAGGTATATATAGATAGTATCTACATTAATGAAATGAACATAAGACACACAAAATATTTTAATAATTAAAATTTAAAATTATATTTTTATAGTAAAGGAGACCATCTTTATGCTACCAATTTTATCGAAAACTTACTCTAAAACTTCAAATTACACTTCCCTTTGAGCAGTTTTCCTAACCATAAAATAGGGAACAGAATTATAAAAACATCTGATTCACTAATTATAAAGTTACTAATATCTGCTATTTCTATAATATGAGAATAATGTTTATCTTCATTTGCTTCATATAAATCAAAATTTAAAAATAAAGTGGATTAAGACTCTTATCTAGATATCCCTTATTTTCAGACCACACCATACCTATAATTACACCCTCTTTTCAGAACCCCTTAAAAAACTCCACATTTTATGTAAGAAAAATTGTATTGAGTTATTATGGTTGTAATAAAAAATACCTATATATTTCAAAAATTATCATAAATATGAACATTAGTCTATGACGCAGCTCAAAGCAAAAAATCGGCTGAGAGATGGCTTATATCTCGAAAAACTCGTTAGTCGGGACACTCGTAAGTCAAGGCCCCACTGTATATATAAATTCCTTTAAGCAGAAACATACCTGTTGCAGCTGAAAGTACTTCTAGAATAATGATGTAATAAGCCCTTATACAATAGATGATGTATAGCAAAATTTAGCTATTTCCTCAACTCTTGACAAAAGTGTTACTACACTCCACTGGCCTTTAGTTATGTCAAGATAGGTTTTGTCTACTTATGCCTTTTATGTCTACCTCACTTCCAGTAAATTTCTTTATAGGGAGCTTACTCTAATCTTATGGTAGAGAACCTAACCTATTTTAATACAAATCGAATAAATGGAGCTATACTTCTTACCACCTGGGCAGCAATAACATTCTTACCAATTTTTTTCAGACTTATTACAATGCTATCATTCCCTAAAGATATTAAATGACCCCTTTACAATAGCAAGTTTGTATCTTAAAAGGTGTACCTTCCACAAATGCTGTAATTTTCCCCAAAGTTCCTCTTTTCCTTTGAGCTTATGCTCAGACTTCAAGTTTATGTAGTTTAAATAGATCTTGTTTAACTCAGAAACATCAATTTTGCCTTAATGTGAAAGAGAAATACTTTTTAAATTTATGCTAAAATCTTCATTAGTCACAAGAATACATACATTTTTTCAGTGTAAATGTTAGAAATCCTATAGAATAGTTTCTCATAGATAATCAGTTCTAAAGAAAGTAGTACCATGCTAACAAGAATATAATGGGTAATAAATACACAGATAAGAAATAAGACTAATGTCCCTCATTTAAAGAGTTAAAGAATTGGCACTATTAACCAAACAATTATTGCAATTTGAAGTAAATATTAAATAAAGATGAAATTGGGAGAGCAATATAATATGGTAATCAAGAGCAAATGTTTTGAAGTTAAACACAACTTCAACTCTACCACTAACCAGCAATGTGATTTTGGGAAAATTAGTTCTTTTTAAGCCTTACTTTCCACACCTGCAAATAATACCTCCTCACAAGATTTTCTGGAGATAAAATGTCCTCATTTATACAAAGCATTTAATGGAGAGTTTACCATATTATATTCTACTACTTCTAAAAAAGGATTTGCATGGCCTTTAAACTACTTATGAATACAATTAGTATCTTTTGGCACTAAACCATATCTGCTTTAAATTATTTTACCATGAGGTGTGAATGGTAGAGAGTCAATCAGCACCAGCTCATCCGGGATTGCATGGCTTGGAAGATGTGTCTCTAGTTCTTTAAAGATGTAATTCTTTACTAACTCATTTTTTGACACCATGAACAGAATTAATTTCTCCTGATTATACCATATAACTGCACATGACTCCACTTGTTGAAGTCCTTCAGCAACCTATGAAAGAGATTATCCCAATTTACCAATGAGGACATTTTTATTTTATTTTATTTATTAAGTTGATTGGGGAACATCGGTTAACATGAACATATAGGTTGGTTTCATGTATGGGCTTCTATATTACAAGATCTGTATACTGCACTGTGTGCTCATCACCCAAAGTCAAATCTTCTCCCTGTCACCTTATATTAGGACCCCCTTCTCCCCGACCCCATCCCCTCTGGCAAGCACCACTCTGCTATTTGTGCTCTTAAGTCCCAGTGAGGACATTTAAAAACAAACTTCCTAAATGCTCAAACTTATCCTGCCTGAAATCAACACAGTCAAATTAAATTGTGAAATACACTAGAGATTTTTTATTTTATTTTGCTATTACTATTATCAGAACACAGGGTTCTTAACATTTTTTCAAAAATAATAGCTTTTATAGCAAAATAAGCCAACTGATATTCAGTTAACAAAATCCAATTAGTCACTTCATGCTGGCAACAAAGGGCATGCTGAATTATCCATGCCTAATATTGTAATTCATCACTTTTTCAAAAATCTTAGACTTAAATGATACTGACAGAAAGTCCTGGCATAGATAATTATTGGTGGCTGCCTCTAGTATCTGCATATATTAGTAGATACTTAATATTTAAATAATTCTACCTGTTGCACAAGTTCAATGTTAAGACGTTTGCCATGACGTTTGATCTGACTGTCCTTTCGTCCCAAGAAGAATAACTCTCCATCTTTCACAGTTACAAAGTCGCCTGTGGCTCGCATTGTGCCAAGTGGTACTGTCACTTCACCATCAAGAAAACATACTCTGTTTCTGCCACCTCCACAAGATATAAACATCAATGTAATAAAAATAAAAAAATATGGAAAATATATTAAAACCATCAACTCAATAATATCCTCAAAAGTTCAGTTACTCAGTTTCAAATTTTTAATATTTATAAGAAAAGGGGCTCACTTTTAAATATTATAAAATTAGAGGTAATAACCACAAGTAAAATTATAAAAAATTTTATTTCTAAAATCATAGATGTGACTTTAAAAAGTCTAACAACTCTGACTAAATAGAATATTAGCTACAAATATAAAGGTCTAAGTAACAGTTTCTAAATTACTCTTATATCTTCCCTTAGACATTGTTATCCTATCTAATAAAAGAGAAACATGGTAATTAGCGTACATCTGCTACGCTTCCCATTGGCTAATCAGGGTGATATGCAAATTAACTGCCAGCCAAGATGGCGGCCGGCAGCCAGGCAGCTTGAAGCTACCATGAGGCTTGCTTGCTTCAGTGACAGAGGACTCCAACGTTCCCCGCCTGCCTTGCCAGCCTCTGAGCTTGCAGCAGTTGGGAGCTTCCGTCAGCCTGAAAACAGCCCTCAGCCCCCCACCCAGACTGACCAGGCACCCCAGTGCGGACCTCCACCCTAAGGGTGTGTGACCAGCTGCAAACAGCCATCATCCCCTCACCCAGACTGGCCAGGCACCCCAGTGGGGACCCCCACCCTGATCCAGGACACCCTTCAGGGCAAACCAGCCAGCCCCCACCCATGCACCAGCCCTCTATCCTATATAGTAAAAGGGTAATATGCCTCCCAGCACTGGGATCAGCAGAGCCCTGAGGCCTCCCAGCACCGGGATCAGCGGAGCTGAGAGGCCTCCTGGCACCGGGATCAGCGTGACAGGGGACAGTGTCCAAACCACCTGATCGCCCTGCGGCTCTGTGTGTGACAGGGGCGGGGCCACAACCTCCCTATCCGCCCTGCTCTGCTCGTGATAGGGGAAGGCGCTCCAACCCCATGATCAGCCCTGCTCTATGCCTGATAGGGGGGAGCTCCCCAACCCCCTGATCACCCTGTGGCTTTGTGTGACAGGATATGGCACCCCAACCCCCTCCCCATGGGCCCTGCTCTGTGTGTGACGGGGGAGAGCCATAACCTCCCCGACGGCCCTGCCCTGAGTGTGACAGTGGCGCCGCCCCAACCCCCTGATCACCCTGTGGCTTTGTGTGACAGGATATGGCACCCCACCCCCCTCCCCATGGGCCCTGCGCTGTGTGTGACGGGGGAGAGCCATAACCTCCCCGACGGCCCTGCCCTGAGTGTGACAGTGGCGCCGCCCCAACCCCCTGATCACCCTGTGGCTTTGTGTGACAGGCTATGGCACCCCAACCACCTCCCCATGGCCCCTGCTCTGTGTGTGACAGGGTACGAAGCCCCAACCCCCTGCTGGGCGCTGCTCTGTGCGTGACAGGGGGCAGCACCCCCACCCCGATGGGCCCTGCTCTGTGCGTGACAGGGCCGAGCTCCCAACCCCCTGATCGATCCTGCTCTGTGTGTGACAGGGTATGGAGCCCCAACCCCCCGATGGGCCCTGCCCTGCTCTGAGCCCGACCAGGGGCTGCACCTAGGGATTGGGCCTGCCCTCTGCCACCCAGAAGCAGGCCTAAGTCAGCAAGTTGTTATCTCCTGAGGGGTCCCAGACTGCGAGAGGGCACAGGCCAGGCTGAGGGACGCCCCCTCCCCGCCGAGTGCACAAATTTTTATGCACTGGGCCTCTAGTCTAAAATAATTATGGTAACTTATTAAATGTTTCATAACTATGAAGATGAGACTGAGATTTAAAATTATCATCACTGAAAAGAATACTAAACATAAGAAAAACTGGGTAAAATAAAAGTAACAGATTTTTTTTTCTTGAAAAAGAAAATCATTCCCTATCAATAAATATAAAACAACCTAAAAATACTTGGCCATTGCCTTCTTCAATTCTGAAACCACTAGTATCTCTGACTTCAACTACTGTTCCAAGCAGTGGAAATCCCAGTTGTACAGGCAATTCACATCTGTGAAAACATAACCAAAACCAGATTTAAAAGTTTTCATTTGAATAAAATATTTTCTAATGTATTTAAGTCACATAGTATCAAATAAATAAACAAAAAGTTTTTATTACATTCTAATTCAAAGACTGCCAAGAGGAAAAGGTTAGATCTGTTATTTCTTGCTCCTTAGTCACAAAAACCTCTAGCAGGATCTATAGCACCAGTTATAACAAGAAAGGTCCTGGATTCCCAGCTTAAAATTCTAGATAACAGTGTTCTAAAATTATTATCCCAGTGCCTATCAAAACACTATTATTGTTAAGATACTGGAAAAACAGTTTCTCTCTACCCTGTTTAGTAATTAAAACTCTTACTTCAAAGTAGAGTTAAGAATCTCCTCTGGAATCCTGTAAAAAGTCGCCCAACTTGATACCTCTGTGATACCATAAACATTAAATATTTGTGTTCTATTGCCTACTTCTCTCCAGCCTTTGAGAACAGTCAGTGACGGAAATGCTTCACCACCAAGGGCTAGTACTCGAAGAGAAGTACTGGCTGATAAAACAGTTGACTTGATAAGCTGAGATCCAAATCTTCTAAGCAATGTCGGTGTTGCCTGTAGATACATTAGAAATAATTATGTCTTCCCTTCACTTCTTTAAAAAGGTAAACAATGCAATGATCGGTTCAAAGCTTAACATTGGAAGCCCACATGGAAATTAAACCTATGTTTATTACATGGCAAATCATAGCTGGAAAACTCCTGAGGAAGCATTATCTTTTTAATGTGAATATAAATTTTGCTTTAGTCAAAAACTTAAGAAAAATACTAGTTACAGTTCATTATGTAGTTTGGACACAAAGGTTTACAGATAAAAATGACAAAATCTATAAAATCAATTTACATTCCCTTTCCCATCATCTCTATGCAAAAAGTATATAAAATGGGTAAAAAAATACGCCTAAAGAAAACAGCATTTCAACTTTTTAAAAACAGTTTTATTGAGGTATAACTGACACATGATAAACTGTACATATTTAAAGTATACAATATAAATTTTAAAATATAGATATACAGATATATCTGTGAAACCATCACAATCCAAATAATAAACACATATCTATATGTTTGCCTTAACATATACCCTAAAATTATCTATGTACCATTATAATTCTTCCCTTCAACTAGACCCCTTCCCCAGATAACTGCTGATCTATTTTCTATTACTAATGATCAGTTAGAATTTTCTAGAATTGTATAAAAATGTAGTCATACAACATGTATTCTGATTTGACCTGGCTTCTTTCACTCAACATAAATACTTTGTGATTATTCTATGTTGTGTGTATCAATAGTTCATTCATTTTTGTCTTAGTCTGTTCAGGCTGCTGTAACGAAATGCCACACACACAGATATATATAAATGAAACTAGAGGCCCGGTGCATGAAATTCATGTAAGAGTAGGCCTTCCTTCCCCTGGCAGCTTCCCTCTGGCATCCAGGACCCAGGCTTCCCTCTAATTAGCATATTACTCTTTTATTATTATAGATGAATACAGCAATATATCAATGGATATAAATTCTCATCTGCTGGTGAGTCATTCTGTGAATGAATATATATATAATATACATATAGTATTTATGCATATTATATATATGTTTTTGGTTTTGTTTTTTTAGGATGAAAAACATATTGCCAAAAAAAAGTCATTATCAAATTTTGTGTTTGGGGCAGAAATTCAACATCCTCTTGAGTTTCATTATACTAGATATAAAACTGGTGATTTTAGTTTATCATGATATGCATATAATTTTGTTATTTCTGTCTAGTACCTAACTACTTGCAATTACTATCTTAAGGCTTGTGTACCAGTAACATACTTTCAGGTACATATTTTTTAAATCTTTAAAAATGCCTAACTCAATTATAATTTAACATACTTAAATTAGGTTTTAATGAGAAATACAATAAAGACAGGAAAGGCAGCATATCCCCACAGATCTGAGTAAAAGCCAAGTTCCTCTAGTTATATCAGCATGTATAAAAGATACAATAAAATAATTTTCTAGCCAGAATTAACTGATTTGTTTTTTACATTCTCAAACAAAAAAGTGAGATCATCAGGAGATAGCCTTTGATAATCTAACTAGATTATCATTAATCCACTGTAAAGAATTTCAGGAATGCAGACTTTTCTCTAAAACACTTAAAATACTGAATCATAAAGGACTAAACATTTCATTTGTTCCTAAAATGTACCTGCAAAATAGTCACTCTGTGATGGGAAAAGAGAACAGCAGATAATTTCGATGGGAGCACTTTGACAGAAGTTGGTACAATAAGCAGGGAGGCACCACTTGATAGAGCAACAAATATTTCCACAACTGAGGGATCAAAGGTCAGAGGTGAAGCTAGAAATAAAACATCTTCTTGTGTGATCTCGAAAAGTACCCTAAGGAAAAACAGAATGTAACTATGAGAAATGTCTAATATTTATTTGGTAAACACATATCCTAACGAAGTATTTATGACCATTAAGTTTTTGGGTGATGGCCAGATTTTTATTCTTTAATTTACATTAACCAATATGGTGATATTAATTCTAGAGCTCTTCTTTTAAAAATTTACATTTTTATTGATTTCAGAAAGGAAGAGAGAGGGAGAGAGATAGAAACATCAATGATGAGAAGCACTGACCAGCTGCCTCCTGCACGCCCTCTACTGGGGATCAAGCCTGCAACCTGGGTGTGTGCCTTGACAAGGAATCAAAGTGTGACCTCCTGGTTCATAGGTGAATGCTCAACCACTGAGCAACACCGGCTGGGCTATAACTCTTCTTTATAAATGTAAGGATTAAAAGCCATTTAAAGCAATATACGCTTTTTACCATGACATATTTAATCATCTGTGGTAGCTTTCTGATGGGTTTAAGTGGCTGGATTGAACTATAGTCCCCAGAATTCTCTTTCTAGTACCGTATTTGCCCGCGTATAAGACGATTTTTTGGCCCTGAAAAATATGCCTCCAAGTGGGGGGTCGTCTTATACGCCAGGTACACTTCAGATAGACTGCCCATAGTGCTTGCCCCGTGCCATAGTGGCCTCCCGATGCCCTCCCACTTCATTCCACATACCGTTCAGGCATCAGCAGCGCTGCTGGGTGTATGCTCGGCTGTTATGCGATTTTGCTGTTATGCGATTTTACCACACTCGCAAAATCGCACACAGCGGACCATACACCCAGTATGATAGCGCAAAATCACGAATCGCGATACCATACTGGGTGTATGGTTGGCTGTGTGCGATTTTGCGAGTGTGGTAAATTCGGGTTACCGTATAATGAAGAGGAGTTTGAAGGCTTTTAAGGTGAAACTGTCACGCCAGCAAACTTGCTAGGGACTTGCCCGGCACTTGCTCTCTCCCTCTATTTGTTATCTTACTTCTATCATTGACAGTCCCTCTAGGTTGTGGGCTGCTTGCCTGTGTTCCTGAGAAGCATCTACGGTACCAGTCTATAGAGTGTGTTTTCTTTAGTGAATTACCGGTATGTTTACCAGTAATAAACTTGCACTGTTTTATGTATATGTTTGATTACATACAGCCTTGTGACAGTTTTCCTGCATGTCATAAGCATTTGAATATAAATTAAAATGTTAAAATCAAATCTGATATTGTTTTACCTTTTATTTGGTGTGTGGAAGGTGTGCGGAAGAGGGGGTAGCCTTATACGGCGAGTATATAACAAACTCTGTATTTTGAGTGGAAATGTTAGGGGGTCGTCTTATAGGCCCAGTCGTCTTATACGCCGGCAAATACGGTATGTTTCCCATTAAGGAGAAGACAAAGGATATTTTCTCTTGAGTTAGAAGACAGAGGGAGGCAACTGCATTTGGTAGCACACACACGTTTGCCCAACTATTCAATCACACACAATCTAGGTCATTGGTTCTCAACCTTGGCTGCACATTAGAATCACCTGAGAATCTTTAAAATCCTGATTTTGTTCCTGACTTGCTTGTGGACACGCCTGAGGCCCAGAAATCAGGATTTTAAAAAGATTCCCAGCCCTAACTGGTTTGGCTCAGTGCACAGAGCATCGGCCTGTGGACTGAAGGGTCCCAGGTTCAATTCCAGTCAAGGGCATGTGCAGGAGGCAGCTGATCGATGTTTCTCTCCCATCGATGTTTCTAACTCTCTATCCTTCTCCCTTTCTCTCTGTAAAAAATCAATAAAATATATTTTTAAAAAAAGATTCCCAGGTGATTCTAATGTGCAGCCAAGGTTGAGAACCACTTATCTAGGTGCTGCTGTGAAGGGCTTTTTGTAGATATGATTAAAGTCCCTCATCGGTTGACCTCAATCAAAAGAGAGCTTACCCTGGGTTGGCTGGATTTAGTCGGGGGAGGCCATTAAAGCATGTGTAGGTCTTTTCTGAAGAGACTCCAACACAGCAGCTGAGTCTGCAATTACTCTCCCTACCCCTGGATCTTCATTCCTGACTTGCGTGTGCACACGCATATTCCCACAAGGTTCCAGCCTGCTCAGGATCACCCCTTTCTGAGGGTCTAAGCTGCGCACTTTAGTATTGCTTTGCCAGACCCAACTGCAAACCAATTCCTTGTAATAAATCTCTGATCTATCCTCCTGGTTCTTTTCGGGCAGGAATCGGGACTTATTCCTTCCTACTCACTCACTGATGCTTAATAGAGGCCTCTGACTCCCTTTTCCCACTACTTGGTGTTTTCTCTCAGTAGCTGATCAAAGAGCAGAATAGAATATAAGCGGTTAGGATATTATAGAGCATGGACAGTCTGTGTTGAGCCTATGGCACTACAGTACTTCAGTTTGAACACACAAAACCCCCTATCTAAAAGCAGGGATTACCTTAACTTCAAAATATCTTCAAGTATGGTATTGTGAGGATCCACTCAGAACCCCAGAGTTGGTATAAATATTATTTTAAGCTGAAGACATTTTGGATTTAACAGATGAAAAAAGAAAAGCCTTCTTAGAGTATCCCTTATCTGACTAACGGCAGCTTCTGGGAAATGAGGCTGCCACAAACTTCTTCAGGGTGGCTTTTACTCCCAGCAAAGACAAAAGAGTAAACCTACCATATTTTCTCTGCAGAGGAGTTTCATGGTCCTGATGCAGGAAAGACTATTCTCACCAGGACAAACTAACGTTATCACAAAATTTCTTACCTCTTTGTCTTTCATAAAGAAACTTGTTTGTTCTTCCCACAGAAGCCTTTCCCCCCCACCCTCCCTGTTCCCTACCAAATCAGGTAGATAAGCCTTCTAATTTTAACTTTTAATGATGGAGTTCAGAACATGCCACCCCAAAATATGCTGCTCTGGCATATTGACTGGTTTGAGTTAAAGGCACTTGAAAAACAGCCCATACAAACACTACGATCTTCCTTCCCCACCCCCATAAAAACAGGAGCTGAAATTCCCAAAGACATCCTCCCTAGAGCACAGTGGTTCTCAGCCTGTGGGTTGAGACCCCTTTGGGGGTCGAACGACCCTTTCACAGGGGTCACCTAAGACCATCCTGCATATCAGATATTTACATTATGATTCATAACAGCAGCAAAATTACAGTTATGAAGTAGCAACGAAAATAATTTTATGGTTGGGGGTCACAACACGAGGAGCTGTATTAAAGGGCCAGAAGGTTGAGAACCACTGCTATAGCAGAAGGAAAGTAACATTCTTATCATTAAGAACTAGAAGATGAGACTTAGAGAATTCTACACAAACAGACCTTGTTAGAATAATTCTCTTCCCTTAGCCTCCCCACATAGTTCAGTCACTTTTCCACAACTGACTCTTTGTTCAACCTACTATAAGAGCAAGCAGGTTTTGCCATCTCTTTCGGCCTTCATTCCCTATGAAGGGTCCTGTCACATAAACTTGTATAGTTGACCCTGGAATAATGTGGGGGTTGCAAGTTCTGAAAAAGGACTCCCAGCACAGAACTTACCGGAAATGTTGGATGTTCGGCACTATGCACGCATGAGGGACTCTGACAATCTTGGGTGTCCCCGTGGTGCCTGAGGTATGGAGAACATAGGCTAAACAATGTTTTAGCCTCACATCCACATGCTCTTCTGGCTTTTCTTCATTGCTTTTCTCGGAACTGGTGCTGTTTACCACTTTTTCTTTTTCGTATTTCTCTTTTCTATCATTTAGCATCAAGCTCACCTCAACATTTTTCCAATGAAGTCTGAAGAGTACTAAGTCATTATGTTCTACTGTAAGTGTATCATAGTTCAATAATTTTTCAAAGGAAGATTTGAATTTCTGTTAAATGGAGAAAATTTCCAATGCATTAAAAAGAAATTCTTTTTTGCACAGAAGTAATATAAAGTGTTCATTTACTCATTCATTATAGCGTTTACTTATTTTTAAAATATATTTTTATTGATTTCAGAGAAGAAGGGAGAGGGAGAAACATGGGAGAAACATCAATGATGAGAAACACTAATAGGCTGCCTCCTGCACACTCCTACTGGGGATCAACTGAAACCCAGGCATAAACCCTGACCCGGAATCAAACTGTGACCTCCTGGTTCATAGGTTGAGTCTCACCTACTGAGCCACACCAGCTGGGCTCATTATGACTTTCTAATTGTTGTGTTTTTTAGAAAACTTGCTATATATCCAGGGATAAAAATAAATAAAATAGAAACTTCCAAGAAGTTTCTGTCCTTACTTTCTAAGTCACCTTCAAAATAAACAGACATATAAAAACACACAATTGCATGCCCTAGCTGGTTTGGCTCAGTGATTGGAGCATTGGCCCTGGAAATGAAGGGTCCCGGGTTTGATTCCAGTCAAGAGCATGTACCTTGATTGCAGGCTTAATCCCTACCCTGGCTGAGGCACGTGCAGGAGGCAACCAATCGATGTGTCTCTCTCACATCAATGTTTCCCTCTCTCTGTCTCTCCCCCTTCCACTCTGTCTAAAAAAATCAATGGAAAAAATATCCTCGGATAAGGATTAACAGCAACAAAACAAAACAAAAAAATAACACAACTGCAGTACAATGTGGTAAGTATGACAATGAAATATAGGAACCGAGGAGGCTGAACGTAACTGACTAGAAGGTTGGAAATTGCATCTTCGTATGTAGTATTTGTTTGTAAGTAGCTATTCTCCAAATAAAGAAGATGGGTTCTTCAGGCAAATAGCTAATACAGAGTGTAAGACCCAAGAAAACTGGGGTTATGGAGAGCATTAAGCATTTCAACAAACTGCAGAACTGGAGAAGAGGAAAAAGGTGAGTAGTGTTGTTAACAGGAGATGAGATGCTAATCCTATCCTCCTATATAATAAAAGGCTAAAATTGTCCCATCGGCTAGGAGTTCGACCGGGAGTTTGACCAGGGGTTGGGGCCGGCTGGCCAACCATCCGTGGCCTCTCCCCCTGGCTGGCCTGACCCAATCGGGGTGGGCTGGCCAGACCCTACCCATGCACAAATTCGTGCACTGGGCCTCTAGTCCTTAATAACTTTTAAACTCAACACTGAGTTAAACCTTAACCTGTAAGCGATAGGATCCAAATGAAGGTGGCAGCAGCACAGACTAGACTTTACTCTGTCAAGACTCTGTCTGATAAGAGAGAGCCATTTAATGAACGTTTTGCAACAATTAAATATGCTGTATGGTACTTGAACTAATATATTGCAACCACAGTGGACAGAAAGGGTCTTTGAGCAAAGAAATCAACAGGGCTTGGTAACCTTCTGGATATAGAGTGAGCCCAAGAATACTGAGATTCTGGGTCAGGTATTTTGTAAAGATAGATTAATACAGAGCTAAGTTCAGATAAAAAGATGTTAAATTCAATTTGGCCATGCCAAAAGTGACATTCCTCTGAATATACATTTTTATTTTGATAAACAGCAGCTTAATAAAATATAACTTAAGTTTCACATTAAAGACATCAATATAAATGAGAGGTCAAAACCCAGAAGCCTATAGTGTTTTCTGTTGGTTCGGTGTGTGTATATTAGAGGTAAGATGGGATATGGCCTGTAATATTCAATGACAGACATACATTTTCTAAAGACTTAACTCAAAACCATCTTCTGGCCTGGCCAGTGTGGCCCAGTGGTTGAGTGCTGAACCATGAACCAGGAGGTCAGGGCTTGATCCCCAGCAGGGGCGTGCAGGAGGCAGCCAATCAATGATTCTCTCTCATCATTGATATTTCTCTCTCTCCTTCACCCTTCCTCTCGCTGGAATCAATACAAATATATTTAAAAATACACACACACACACACACAAAACCATCTTCTGCTATTAAAATTTTCCTATCTCTACTAAGTTATATTTACTTTACTTACAACAATATCACACTATGTAGACTTACAGGTTTAGGAGTATTAACCTTTTCTCTCCAACTAAATTATAAGCATTTGGAGGGCAAGAATCATGTATTGGGCTTCTTTCACATACCAATGCCCTCCCAGACAACCTGACTCTAGTGCAGGGTTTCTTGATCTCAACACTGACATTTTGGACCAGATAACTCTGAGGGGAGCTGTCTTGTTCCTTCTAAGATTGTTAACATCATCCCTGGCCTTTACCAGTAGCACCCACTGCCACGGTGACAATAAAAAACACAAGACAGCCTGGCTGGTGTGGCTCCGTGGTTGAGCATTAACTTAAGCACCAAGAGGTCACCGGTTCGATTCCTGGTCAGGGCATATACCTAGGTTTCGGGCTCAATCCCCAGTAGGTGGTGTGCAGGAGGCAGCCGATCAATGTTGTTTCTCTCTCATTGATGTTTCTATCTCTCCCTCTCTTTCTCCTCTCTCTAAAATCAATAAAAAAATAAATCAAATCCTTCCCCATTGCTCCTGTGCTAAACGAAGGAAGAACACTTATACCATCATCAAAGTTATGGAATATGAAGTAAGGTACTTTCTATAGGAAGTAAAGGGTTTTGCTATGTGCTCAACTCCTTCCTATAAGCAGTTATTTAATTCTCACATCCCATCACATCTTTAATAAAACTTTCACAAAGGTTGTTAAGAAAAATGAAGGTCACACTCCCATTTTAATTTTGCTTATATCAACAACAAAGGAATTAATCAGTTTGAGGAGAAGAGAAAACTTTGGCCAGACTTTAATACATGTTTATTTAGAAAATATTTATTAACCAAATGAATACTTCAGTTGTCTCCTTCTGGAGACTTTACTCAAATACTCATGATTCTCTGGAGGTCCTCATCTATCTTAAACTTTTGATACTTCTTATTACTATATATACAGACAGAGATGCACAGACATAGGTAAAATGCATTTAAATTACCCCCATATATATAACTTTGGATAAGAAATGGATAAAAACAAGCTAAGTTGAATATACCTACTATAATGTTCTTTTCTCTTTGGCAAAACAGTATTTTATAAACAAGAAATAAAGAAATAATAATGAAATATGGGCTGCCTCTTGCTGAACATATAATACCAATGCTTTCCCCTAAAGCAGTGTTTCCTTTTTACTTATTTTATTTATTGTTGAGAGTATTACAGATATCTCCCATTGCCACCCCTTTTACCCCTCTCCATGTAGCCCTCACTCTACCCCAGGCCTAAAGCAGTGTTTCTTGGCTAGATCTTTGGTTGGCAGTCAAAAATTTTAGAATTATAATAAACTTAATTTTCCAGAAAGGTTTGGTCTAAGTACCAATCTCTTTTTCAAAATCTAAGCTTGATTATAATTCTTTAGTATTGTTCACTATTATAAATTGCCATAAATATTCTATACTAGAGGCCCTGTGCACGGGATTCGTGCACTTGTGGGGGGCATGGCCTGCGGGGATTGGCCCACTGTGGGAGTACCGCTCATCCCAGTCAGCCAAGCAGCTATGGACCCGCCTTCTGAGTGGCTGCTCCCACTATGAGAGCACCACTCATCCTGGTCAGCCAAGCCGGCGCTCCCACTGTGGGAACACACTGACCACCAGGGGGCAGCTCCTGCATTGAACATTTGCCCCCTGGTGGTCAATGCACGTCATACCAACTGGTCAACTGGTCATTCTGGTTGTTCCACTGTTCAGTCGCTGGGCTTTTATTATATAAAAATAATAAAAGTGCGATATGCAAATCGACCAAACGGCTGAACAGCAGAACGACCATCCAGACGACCATCCAGGACCATGCTATGACACCCACTGGCACCAGGCCAGCCAAGGCAGATGCAATGTGATTGATCAGGGGCCCAGCCATTGCCCCATGATCGCAACCACAGAGGAGGCCCAGGCCACCGACCAGTGGGTTGCGGCAGGTGAGCGGGGCCTCCCTCTGTGAGGGAAGCCCAGGTGCCGGAGGGAAGCCAGTGCCAGCAGCCGGGGGAAGAAAGGCCTACTCTTGCATGAATTTCGTGCATCAGGCCTCTAGTAGAAAAATGAAAGTTTCAAGTATTATAAATTTTCCTAGTATAGGAACAACTTTGGAAAGAGAAAGGAAATTCAAATACATGATTATAAAGCTAGATGATATGTTCATGCCATAGAGCAGTGTTTTTCAACAGAGTGTAGGGGGCAGAGGGCACGCCAGCAGACACTTGGCAATGTCAGGAGGCCAGTAGCACCCACTGGGGTCTTCTACTGTCATCTGGTGGCTGGAGACCGGGGATGTTGCTAAACATCCTATAATGTACAGGACACTCCTGACAAAAAAACAATTACTCAACTCAAAATGTCAACAATGCTGAGACATCCTGCAGAGTTAGTAAATTTAGAAATCAAGAGGGGATAAGGAAAGGCCTTTATCAATTGAAAGATAAATAAACACATAAAAAACATTTAAAAATATACACTTACATTAATTTGCTGTTTTTCAACAAGAATGTACTGTAGATTACATTTTTTCATAAAATGAGTTGATAATGCTGGTGGTGAATCTGGATCAATGGGAGCATAAGCAGCAGGGACTTGGAGAATTCTAAGGAAACAAAGTATACAGTCAGCATACAATATGTTGAAAATAATCTTTAAGCATTTCTATTTCTCTATGTACTTTACTATTGACTTTATCAGAAATTCTCGATGTTTTTGTTGACACATTTTTGTTTATAAGTAGTTACTTTTATCTGACTCTTAATACTGAGTACTCTTGAGTGTTTACTATGTTAAATTCTCATTATCTAATTCAGAGAAATCTAAGATTTTTTTTAAAGCTGATATATTATAGTAAAATACACTTGGTTAACAGGCTACTACTAAAATACCAAACAGGTAGCAGACTCTTATTTCTTCATCTATGTAGGGTAACATAAAACAAGGTAAATATCCACATGCAACTTATTAGTACGTGGAGTCTATTAATCTGCATACTAAAAAGGCATATTTCACCAAAACCAGTATAAATTAAAAGGGGAAAAAAACTTAAAATAGATTTGTAAGTGGCAATACTTACATAAATAAAATCAAAGACAAGTTAGTTGTATTATCTAAAAGCACTTTGGAGTACACTTTGGGCACATTACATCTTTGCACATACTACATTCTCAATAAATTTTTGTCAATGATTGAATAAAAAATTTTAAAACTTCTTTGTTTTATATAATTTATATAATTAATCTGCTAACATACATACTATGGGATGAATATCAACATCTCTAATTCTTTACAGCTTTTATTTACTGCAGAACCCTAATAAAGAAATCACTATATGAAAATAATATTCTAGAACTTAAATAATTGAATATTTTTAAATATGTTTGAATATTATCTTCTTCAATTCTATCTCAATTTTTATGGAGTACTATCCAAAACTCTCAATTATTTATTCATTCACTTACTGAATACCTGAATAACTAAAGCTTGTCTTAGAGGAAAAATTATATTTACATTATTTTTAAAATACTTGTTTTATCTAACAACAGAATTTATGACTTTTCCTTTGGCAGACAAATGAAGGCCTTATATTTTGGAGGCATTTAAATGTTCTGTTATTAGTGAAAATGTCTAGTCATTTCTAAATAAGCTCAGGTGAATTAATTAAAAATAATCCTACGGTGCCAAAACCGGTTTGGCTCAGTGGATAGAGCGTCGGCCTGCGGACTGAAAGGTCCCGGGTTCAATTCCGGTCAAGGGCATGTACCTTGGTTGCGGGCACATCCCCAGTGGGGAGTGTGCAGGAGGCAGCTGGTCGATGTTTCTCTCTCATCGATGTTTCTGACTCTCTATCTTTCTCCTTTCCTCTCTGTAAAAACTCAATAAAATATATTTTAAAAAAATAATAATAATCCTACGGGAAATATGAACTCCTTTAGCCTCTCTAGAATTGAGCAAGCAATACAGAAGAATCCAATGGTAAACAGAACAATAACTGTAATATACCCTATGTATTAAAGAATTACGAATTAGGTTAGAGTAATATCAAATTTTTAATTCTAAAACATATTACCCTAAAATCCAAGAGGGTACGTTTATCCCAGGATGGCAGTAGAGACCAATTTCCCGAATTCCTTGAAAGTCGCAGTGTAATAGCAGAAAATTTGATAATTCCGAAGCAGCACTGACCAGGTTCTTGTAGGTGTAATAAACTGGAGGCTGATCGTTACATTCATCAAAACATACAGCTATTTTATTGGAATAAATGGAGGCAGCCTGGTGCACCAATTCCTGAAGAGTCATTTCACTGCAGTTTATCTAACGTTACTAGTAGCAGAAGTGTGACAGGTCCAGAGAGTTTTAGGGAGCCTGGTAGAGGGAGAAGGAGAGAGAGAAACTTCTATAAATCACTTCTCACAAAAAAATAACTACATCAAAAACATACAATTAATGAATCTCTAAACTTACTAATTTATTTATGGTAACTTTGCTGAGAACAATGATGTTGAAAACTAATCTGATGCAATCATCCTAATGCTGGGTCAGAGCTGAAAGAAAATTTGGGAGGTGAGTGGTATACACTGATAAGGATGAAACAGGTAGAAATGCAGAATTATCTAACTGACTACAATCTAAATGTGTATGTATATTAAATTAACCAATAAGACCAAATTTAAAGCACCACATGTTTAATTTTTTCTTCAGTATTGTTAAAAATTAATTACGTTGCTCTGACCAGTTTGGCTCAGTGGATGGAGTGTCGTCCTGTGGACTGAAGGGTCCCAGGTTCAATTCCGGTCAAGGGCATGTACCTTGGTTGCGGGCACATCCTCAGTGGGGAGTGTGCAGGAGGCAGCTGATCCATTTTTCTAACTCTCTATCCCTCTCGCTTCCTCTCTGTAAAAAAAAATCAATTAAAAATATATTTTAAAAATTGATTATGTTAAAGTGCTAATACCTGTACAGTGAATTTGAAAAGACTAATGCAAATAAAGTCTGTGTTTAGGACTGAACTTAAGAGGGAGCAAAATCAACCTTTGATAGAAAAAAGAAAATCCACAATCTATTCAGTTTTTGTCCACTATATATAAACTGTGCTAATTACTATTTAGTATAATTCTTTACTCAGGTCACATCATTTTATAATTGTTAAGAAGTAAGCTCTGCCGAAACCGGTTTGGCTCAGTGGATAGAGCATCGGCCGGCAGACTGAAGGGTCCCGGGTTCGATTCCGGTCAGGGGCATGTACCTGGGTTGCAGGCACTTCCCCGGTGGGGGATGTGCAGGAGGCAGCTGATCGATGTTTCTCTCTCGTCGATGTTTCTGACTCTCTATCTCTCTCCCTTCCTCTCTGTAAAAAATCAATAAAATATATAAATAAAAAAAAAGAAAACCTTTAAAAAAAAAAAGAAGCTCTTCATATTCTATATGACATTTAAATTGCCAATAAACTCATTCAAATTTAGACTCTATATGTCATATTATAACTCAATAAAACATTGTATCAATTCAATGTTCTGAGGGCTTCTCAATGCAGATTAAATAAAAAGATTTGAAACTATTTCATCAAAGAAATGTTAGGGATCACCTTTTTAAAAAAAAAAAAATCCTCAAAATTGCTAGTACTTTCTTGAAGATAAAGGTGATTTTTTTGAACTCTACATTCCAGATTTCAAAGCAAATATAATTTTAATCATTCAAGCTTTAAAAATGTGTCCACACTTATTTGAACTGATTTTCCTACTGAGTCAAAACACATTTATATCCATGTCATTTAGTTAATATTAGAGAACATTGATAAAACATTCTACAGAGAGCAAAATGAACCTATAACTACTGAAACCCATAAGGATAGGGCAATGGTCGGCAAACTATGGCTCGCGAGACACGTGGCTCTTTGGCCCCAAGTGTGGCTCTTCCACAAAATACCACGTGCAGGCGCGCACATACAGTGCGAGTAAAACTTCGTGGCCCATGCGCATAGCAAAGGCCAGCTTAGGAGTACCCTAATTAAGTTAATAACAATGTACCTACCTATATAGTTTAAGTTTAAAAAATTTGGCTCTCAAAAGAAATTTCAATCATTGTACTATTGATATTTGGCTCTGTTGACTGAGTTTGCCGACCACTGGGTTAGGAAATGCTATGATTTCTAAATATAAAGTTTAAAAATATAACTTTAGTACTTTGTATTTCTTTTTATTAAGCACTAGAGGCCCAGCGCACGAAATCCAACGAGACCCACACAAGACCCACACCTTCCTCGCGTGTGGGACCCAGACCCACAGTGCGAGAGTAGCTCACTGCCTCAAGGGCCCCCCTCCATGCCCAGCAGTGGCCGGCAGGGTGAGGGGGGGAGGTGGGGGCGGCAGGGGAATGAGAGGTACTCGATGCATCTTCTGGTGACTGGTTGTTCCAGCATCTGGCATTCTGGCCACAGGCCTTTTATAATATAGATTTCTACAAATACTAGCTATTTGTAATGCACACGATAAAAATGTTAAGCTTTCTTTATACATACATTGTGTAAATATAAGGAAGACTTTCCATAGCATGCACTAAAATTATGAGGAAGGACCTCTTTACAAGAAAGGATACCTTCTGCAGAATATAAATAACAAACTGCCTACCTACACTATACAATGTACTATACTAAAGCATTTTTGCAAAAATGTGTAGTCTATGTACAAAAAATGCATTTTTAAAATACATACAGCAGTTAATTTTTCCCTTGAGGACAATCTACTCAATATATAATACTCCAAAATTATCTGACCTCAAAGAAAGGAGTAAGATTATAAAATGAACTAAATTCTTTTTTTAATGCCATTTTATGACATACTGCAACCCTCACCACATGTAGCTACACAGTTAGGATGTTTTCCTACCTTTGAGTTTCCCAGTGGTTGCTAGAGAATTAAGGCAAAATTTATTCTTGTTTAAGGTTTTCATTTTCGTTAACTAAACCAAATGCATTCTCCCCAACAAAGAACACTATATTTATTGGACGCCCAAACACTTCTTGAATCTTGCAAAGGGTGGGGAGGGTGGGGAGCATTATCTGGTCAGATTTCATAAGTTACAGGATCATTAAGTTTAAGATACTTGTTATTTTACAACTGCAGAAGCTGCTATGTAGTCATCGCAGGAATGTCAACAAATCCTCTTACTTACTGGCTATTTTAAAAAAACAGGTGAGTAGTCTAGAAACTTTATTTTCCCCGTACCCACCGGCTTCTTCACTTACATTGCTAACTTCGTCTAATAACGATGCACTTTATAGCTTCCAAAGCACTTTTTCATCTGCTCTTTGAAACCAAGATCGCAGGTAGGCGGGCCAGGCTTATTCCAATGAAGGGGCCGAGGCTGGTTGACTCAGGGGGATCACACGGGGCACGACACCGGCCCACCAGACACCACTGACTCACATCGGAGGCCTGGCTCGCCCCGAGGCTGAGCCGACCTGCGCACAGCCAGCCCCAGATGTGGGACCTGCCTCCTGCACAGCAGTCCGTGCCAACTCCACCGCCACTCCGAAGGCCTCGGGGGCTGGGCGGGAGGGCGGAGCCCGCCCGAGGCTTCCCCCGGCAGCCCACGCAAGACACCCAGCCACCCGCAGCGAAAAAGCAGTCACCCCAAAGCCTTAGCGACAGCCCACTGCGCGCCCGCGGAGACCGAAAAGCCTCCGGCCCTCGGGGACATCTCTGGGGTCGCTGCGTTGACGTCAGCGCGAGCGACGCGGGCAGACCGCGTCGCCCCGCCCCTTCCGGAAACTTCGGAGCCAATCAGGTAGGAGCGCTTCCGGTGGTCCTGCTGGGTTTTGGACCGTCTGTGAGGACTTGGCGGGTGAGCGGCTTGAGACATTTAAAAGCTTATCGGAAGCTCCCAGGAGACAAGTTTGAACATCAAATGAGAGAAAAGGACTGGAGGTGGGGAGACTCTCAGAATTAAGTATGAAAATGTTCACTAAGTTCTATTGTGCTTCCGGTCCTCCAGCACGAAGGCCCCCTACCCTCTCTTGAACAAAATGGCCTTCAGATTTAGGCTGCGAGGGTGATGGGTAGTGCTGTAAGGATATATCCTTTTAGTTACCCTCCTTCAACCCTCCTTCCAGAGGCCAGTTTCTGAGTTTTTTTAGGGGGTCCTGTGATGTAAGTGGGGTTGCTTATCGGCTTTGGTCACTTCTGGTTTAGAATTTAGCTTTGTTCCAAAGTAATTGGGCCCTTTGCTTCTGATTCAAGAATTTTTCTGTTATCTTTCCCTCTATCCTTGAGGTTTTATGACTAAAAATATCTATACTTCCCTTGCCAGTTTGGCTCAGTGGATAGAGCATCAGCCTGCAGACTGAAGGGTCCCGAGTTTGATTCCAGTTAAGGGCACGTGCCCGGATTTCGAGCTCGATCCCCAGTAGGGGGCGTGCAGGAGGCAGCCGATCGATGGTTTTCTCTCATCATTGATGTTTCTCTCTCCTCCCTTCCTCTCTGACATCAATAAAAATATATTTTTAAAAAGTATGTTTACTGTTAGTTTTTTCAGGGGTTTAGAAAATGTAGGAGACTATGTTCAAGACACTACGTGGTAACCTAGGGTGATTATTCTAAAACATACACCAAATCAGCCACAGTATTCTCTGCTTAAGAAGCTTCAGTGGTCCCTCATTGCCTGCAGGACATTCAGGCTCTTTAGCAAGGTAAACAAGAGGATTCATTATCTGTCTAGCTTGGCCTCTCAGTGAACCACAGCTCTTCAACCCACATCTTCCACATTAGCCACACCAGCTGCAGCAGTAATGAGACTCTAGCTAGGAAGTCTGCTGGGCATACCCACACCCTATCGAGTTTCCACACCTGTGCTTCGGCTGGATCTCAGGCTGAAGTACCCTTCCTCTCCCCAGGCCTGCTTGATGAACATTTACTCCTCAGAAAACACAGCTTAAACATCACCTCCTCAATGTCTTTCTTCAAGTCTTGCATGATAATTTACCCATCCTCCTCCAAGCTCCATCCCATGAACCTAGCAAACTGGTGGGAGGTCAGTCTGCCATGGGCCAGGAGTGTCTCTGCAAATACTTGCTGGGTATGCCAAGAATGCAAGGTACTGACTGCTATTTTTCTTTTTTTAATGTGTTATTGATTTTAGAGAGAGGAAAGAGAGATAGAAACATCAATGATGACGATCATTGATCAGCTGCCTCCTGCATGCCCCCTACTGGGGATGGGGCGCGCAAACCAGGCTTGTGCCCTGATGGGTTGATGCTCAACCATTGAGCCAGATGGGCCGGGCCTGACTGCTCTTTATCTGAGTAATTTTTCAGGGTTGTTTGTGATGATCAATCATCAGAACTGAAGTAATGTCTTTCCCAAGGAGCAGGCATGTTTGCTTCCACTTACTATAAAAGTAGTGAATTCCCAAAAAGTATTCTTTTCCTGTAATGCATCTCACTGTGTGTACAGACATCCATCACCCCAGTGGGACTTGGGAGGCATAGGGAACTGATACAAACATGAAGAACTTCTGGCTACTTCTTTTGCCATGAGTAATACAAGTTTTATTACTTTGATCCAGGAATTTCATGAAATAGCTACATTATTTTCAAGCTTGACTTCTCAAGGGGAAGAGGGGGAGAGAGATAGCATGTGCCCCTGACCGGAATCGAACCTGGGACCCTTCAGTCCGCAGGCCGATGCTCTATGATTCACTTTATTGTGATACTCACTTTATGTGGTGTGAAACTGAACCTTTAATATCTCTGAGGTATGCCTGTGTTTAAAATCCAAAGAAAAAAGGCATTAGAGATTCATGAATCCCATGAACCTAGTTCATTAGAGGTTCATTAGAAATTCAAGTGATGCTCTAGAGCAGTGGTTCTCACCTGTAGGTCGCAACCCCTTTGGCGGTCCAACGACCCCTTTCACAGGGGTCACCTAAGACCATCCTGCATATCAGATATTTACATTATGATTCATAACAGTAGCAACATTACAGTTATGAAGTAGCAACAAAAATAATTTTATGGTTGGGTCACAAGATGAGGAACTGTATTTAAAGGGCCAGAAGGTTGAGAACCATTGCCTAGAGCAGTGATGGTGAACCTATGACACGCGTGTCAGAGGTGACACATGAACTCATTTTTTTGGTTTTCTTTGTTAAATGGCATTTAAATATATAAGATAAATATCAAAAATATAAGTCTTTGTTTTACTATGGTTGCAAATATCAAAAAATTTCTATATGTGACACAGCACCAGAGTTAAGTTAGGGTTTTTCAAAATGCTGACACGCCGAGCTCAAAAGGTTCACCATCACTGGTCTAGAGCAAGATTTTCAGAGGCAATAACATTGAAATGATTGAATGGTTTAAGTCTAGCTGTTAAAGCAGACTTTGCTAAATTCTAGGGCAAGATAGAGATGTCTAAAATTAGTACAGTCAGAAATAGTATGAGTTATTTAAAATATACAGGTTAAAACAGAAAAATATTTCAATGTGGATGCACTAAAGAGGACTGGAGAGGCCAGTGACCCCTTTGTTTTCTAACTTCTAATGTATATGCATGTATTATTTTGATTATTTTTTGTTTTTTAGAGGTGGGACGCTGGCATCTTTATTTTTAAATACTGGTGTGTGTTTTACAGAGTATTTTTAGGTTCACAGAAAAATTGAATGGAAGGTACTGAGACCCTGTGTACCCTGTGCCCCCTCATATGAAGATCTTTCCCCATTATCAACATCCCCCACTATAGTGGTATTGTTGAACCTACATGGTACATCATTATCACCCAAAGTCTAGTTTACATTAGGGTTTGCTCTTGATGTTGTACAGTCTATGGATTTGGACAAAAGTATAATGACATACACTCACCATTTTAACATTATACAAAGTACTAGACTCCTGGTGCTTGAAATTCGTACATGGGGGTGTGGGGAGGGGCGAGGGGCCCTCAGCCCGGCCTGCACCCTCTCACAATCCAGGACCCCTCACGCAATCCAGGACCACTGGCTCCTAACCCTTCGCCTGCCTGCTTGCCTAATCGCCCCTAACCACTCTGTACACCTGCCTGATCACCCCTAACCACTTTTGCCTCAGCCCCCAAACCGCAGCTTCATCCAGAATGATGTCCAGAGGGTTGTTTAGCTGTCCGGTCTAATTAGCATATTACACTTTTATTATTATAGCTGACCCTTAAATAACTGGAGGTTTAGAGGTACCAATCTCCCACTGTAAAAAATCAGCACTAACTTTAGACTCCTCCAAAACTTAACTACTAATAGCCTACTGTTGACCAGATGCTATAGATAAACTAACACATTTTGTATGTTATATGTACTATATACTATCTATAATAATAAAAGTTTAATATGCTAATTAGATTGGATGTCCTTCCAGACAACCTTCCGGATGAAGCCAAGGCTGCGAAGGAAGCCTGGGTCCCGGGTGCCAGAGGGAAACCGGTGCCGGCAGCTGGGGAAAGACCTACTCTGACACAAATTTCATGCACCAGGCCTCTAGTATTATAATAAAACTAGAGGCCCGGTGCACAAATTCATGCACGGGTGGGGTCCCTCAGTGTGGCCTGTGGGGATTGGGCCTAAACCGGCAGTCCAACACTGCCTGCAGCTTCTGCTCATCCTGACCCCACTGCGTCTGCCATGGGCTCACACCCAGTCAGTCCTGGTCGGGAGAGACTTGTGCCGCCACAGCGGTGCTTGCCAGCTGTGAGCCCTGCGTCTGGCACTCGTCCTGGGGCGAGGGGGAGGTGGGATGCGATTGGCCATTTGGGTGGGCAGGGGACGCCCTTGCCAGCTCAGGATCTGGATCTGTCCTGCTGACATTTGTGCTGATTGTCGGGAGCCACATGGAGACCGCTTTTATATCGTTTCTTCCTTGTGGAGCATCTAGGTAGGTGAAGCGGCTGCAGTGCCCGAGGCTGCCTTCCAGAAGGCTGGCGGCATTGTTGGGATCGGGCCAGCAGTGCCAGTCCGTCGGTGCCTGGCCCATTCTTTGGAGACTGGGCCTGTAGGACTACTGAGGGAGTGGCTGCAGCCAGGCTGGTGGGCCACTGAGACGGGTCGGTCAGCTGAATGGAATTTCCACTGTGGTAGCACACTGACCACCAGGGGGAAGATCCCTCATTGAGCATCTGCCCCCTGGCGGTCAGTGTGCGTCATCGTGACTGGTTGACCAGTCACTTAGGCCTTTATATATATACTAGAGGCCTGGTGCACGAATCCATGCCCAGGTGGGGTCAAGGGCCCACCCCAATGGGGGCCTATTGGGGGCGGGGTCACGGGAGGTTGGGGCGGGCTGATCGGGGCCTGGATCAGGCCAGTTGGCTGCCGCAGTGTACATCATAGCGACCGGTCACTCCGGTGGTTCTGGTCGTACTGCCATCCGGTTCCTGGCCTTTTATACATATAGATATAGATAAGCTGGAGAGGAAAAGTTGAGATAAGACTTTTACTGTATTTGTTGGGGGGAAAACTGAGTGAACCTGTGCAATTCAAACCCATGTTAAGGGCCAACTATAGTTTCACTGTCCTAAAAATTCTGTGCTCCACCTGTTCATCCCTATCTCTCCCCTAGCTCCTGACAATCACTGGTCTTATTATTTCCATAATTTTGCCTTTTCCAGAGTAATCACATTGTTGGAATCACACAATATGTATCCTTCTCAGATTGGATTCTTTCACTCAATAATATGCATTTACTTGGTTTTTAAAAAATCAAAACTCCTCTAACACACACACATTTTGGAAATGTAAGCCTCTTCTGTGAAACTCTCTCCATTCCCACTAGTGCTTCCGGAGAACTTGCCATTACCATAGTGCTTACTTAGCATTGCATTTCTAATTATCTGTCCCTCCTACTCAGCCAGCGGCCTTCCCCGATTCCTAAAAGATGGCCTATTCACTGAACCTGGATGTGACATGTCTGTCATTGTGCTATTCACCATAATACACTGAAGTCACTTTTTTTTTTTAATCCTCACCCAAGGATATGTTTATTGATTTTGGAGAGACAAGAGGGGTAGAGAGGAGAGATAAACATTGATGTGAGAGAGAAACATCAATTTTTAGCCTCTTGCACAGGCCCTGACCAGGTAGAACCCACAAATTGGTATGTCTCCTAATCAGGAATTGAACCTGCAACCTTTTGTTGAACAGAATGATGCTCCAACCACCTGAACCACCCGGCCAGGGCTAAAAGTCACTATTTTTTTTTAAAAAAAAATAGATTTTATTGATTTTTTTACAGAGAGGAAGGGAGAGAGATAGAGAATTAGAAATCGATCAGAGAGAAATATCGATCAGCTGCCTCCTGCACACCACCAACTGGGGATTTGCCTGCAACCAAGGTACATGCCCCCGACCAGAATCGAACCAGGGACCCTTCAGTCCACTGACTGACACACTATTCACTGAGCCAAACCGATCAGGGCTAAAAGTCACTATTTAAAAAAAATAAAAAAGCACACACACAGCCCTAACTGGGTTGGCTCAGTGGATAGCATGTCGGCCTGTGGTCCACAGGCTCCCGGGTTGGATTCTGGTCAAGGGCATGTACCTCAGCTCCAGGCTCCTCCCCTGCACTCAGGCCCTGGTTGGGGCTCATGCAAGAGGCAACCAAGTGATGTGTTTCTCTCATATCTGTTTCTCTGTCTTTCCCTCTTTAATCCGCTCTCCCTAAAAAAATCAATGGAAAGATATCCTCAGGTGAGGATCAACAATTAATAAATAAATAGCACACACACACACACACACACTTAAACATATTTAATTATATATATTTTGCACCAGCACATCAAAATGAAGTCACAAAAAAGTAGGCTATAGATCCTGTGAAAACACATTTTTCATCTTCTCTAAAGTTTACAATACTCGTATAAATTTAAAGCAGTTAAACATTTCAGATTAAGTTGGTAAAAAAAATGTAATTCAGACTTCGGAAATTTGTGAAATAAAAGGCCATGATGGGAAACATTAAGAAATTTGAAGAATTACCAAACTATCATATAGTACATTATTTCATTATAAAAGCACTTCAATAAAACAAAATAAAAACTATGGAAAACACAAAAGTCAAATAAGAGATTTTGGTTTAGCACTTTCCCTGAGACTCATTTTTATAAACCAAAGTAAGGCTGTTCAAAACTGACCCATAAGTCTTGCCTCCTTCATACTGCTATGAGAAATACATTTAAGACAAGAGGCTATCCACTCAAATGGTCCCAGGGTTTTATTTAAATGCAGCTTGCTTGTGTCACTGCCACAGGGTTACCTGACCCATTGCTGCCTGGATGCTCTTGGTCTTAAAAGAGCTGTCAGGATATTTCCTTGGCCTACCATAATACAACATGTGAGACTACATACCAAATGAAGACAAAAAGATTTGTTACTAATAAATATTAAATTTCCAAATGGATTTGGAAACTATATACATCAAATTGTGGTAAAAATAACACAGAACATGTTTCTGTTTTAAAAATCTTACAAAAATAGGAATTGGAGGCAAGCTGTCTTAAAATTTTAAATCTCAGACGTTACAAGAAAAAAAAAACTTCAAAAAATTCAAATTCGTCAGTCCCAATAAAACTAAGTACAAAAAGTGGTTAAGTTGATGTTTGGAATTAGATGAGCATGCTAATTCCAAAAAAGTAGTTGTCTTCTTGTTCCTTTACTAAAATTGGTCCCTGCAGTTCTTCTACTTGATCATTTAATTGCAATGACATGAATGTGTGTATATGCTTGCAAGTGATCAAGAATTAAAAGTTCATTAGAACCTAAAATTTTATTTTTTACTTCACACACTAGGTTCCTTGCTGAGCTTTATACTGTCAGGACACTAAGTAGTATGGATCACACTTTCTAGTCAAACTTTTTCCACATATTTTTACAATCATTTTTAGGGCATTTCAAAGGCAGGTGGCAAAGTACGACTAAACTGTATATCTCCATTCATCATAATGAAATCTCAATTGCGGTCTAATAGCCAACATTTCAAAAAATAATAATCATGCAATATCTTAAATATAGGTGTGAAATGATGGCTCAACCCACCAAGAATATTACACATTCACATTCCTATTAACTATTTTAGTAATGTCAGTACCCCCTTGCACAGGTTGGGAAAAGTGAGGCACAAAAAAGCATTAAAAATATTTTTGTCTAAAGTTAGACAAGGAAGCCGAGGTCATAACTATAATCAGAACTCTAGAGGCTTGACACCGTTGGGCTATAATAGATGAGAAATTTGCATGAAACGTTATATTTAACTTACTTGTCCTGTTTGTATCACACCATCTTAGTCTAACTGCTTGCAAACTCTTTGAAGCATGGACCTGGCAAATGCCTCTTACCAGCTGCCTTCTCTGACCAGGTGAAAATGGCTAGCTGATGCTTGTGTTAAAAAAAGAATACCAATATTGTTGCATTATATGCAACTAGCAAGGTTCAATTATGAAAATATTCCACAATGAACTTTAGTAATTCTCAAGAAACATTCCACAAAATTCTATTAACTATCTGTGGTAAGGTATAGTACCTGGAAATGCCCTCTAAAACAGAAAATTTACCCATCCTTTACATTACTGTTGATGATCTCATAACTGATAGCCTCAAAGTACTAAACAACTAAGTAAAACTGAAAGGATTATCCAAGTTCCTAGATAACACCACAATATTTATCTAAGCTTATTACAGAGAGCATAGCACTTTGGTACCCTTTACAGAAAAAATAAAACATCTCAAAAACTTACACGTAACCATGTGGCATTTACATTGTACCAGCTGAAGAACACTAAATGGATAAAGTGTAACCACTGTAACATTTTAACCAATTTTATATCTTGAAACATTGTATCTACCCCTACCAGCTACCAATCCAGTTCTACAGGGTATTTTCCCGTGAGACAAGCTGTACAATGACCATTTTTTTCAAAGCATTCCAGACCGTTCCCATTTTCTTGAATCATAATATCTTGCTTTTTCACTTTCTGTTTTTTAAATGTTATTCCTTCTTGTACTGATGAAACCAGTCCTTCTACTGACAGATAAACAACACTGTTTGCTCCTATTGGGGGAAAGAGGGAAAAAGAAAAAGGGCATACAGGAACACCAGCTATAAACAACACGTGTGGAGGCAGGTACCAAGGCACTCTGGCTGAACATCTATGTGCTGTTTAAATAGTTTATACTTCACCTGAATTAAAAAAGCAAATGTCTTATCCAGGGTAACGTAGATCTCCAAGTCTCCTGACTTCATTATTAAAGATAATGAAGCTGTTAAAGATAATGAACAGCCACATAAGCTGTTCATTCTGTTTGTATCCACATTCAAATTTTTCTGCTAGCATCTGTGGTGAAATCGTGTGTTTTTTATTCTTGGGATCTGACTGGGAGGCTTAACTGACATGCATGCATTTCCTCTACCTGGAAAGCCTTTCATCCTTTTTTCCTCATCTCACCTTGATCTAACACAGCACTCACTGTGGTGTATATGCACCCCGGCACCCTCACTATTCAGGATAGTGTTCACTATCTGCTCAACATACACAACCTCTCCTTTTAACAAATATTTAATACTCTTTTACTAAGATTGATAAGCTTTGGATTTTCTGTTAATAAATGAATAAATGTAAATTTTATAGAAACTTTAATACCTACCTAGATACTCGGCAAGGTGTTCAAATTCTGGTTTATTAGCAATAAGCTCTTCTTTGGTTGGTATGTTTATTCCCATGAAGCATGGATATTTAATTGGTGGTGAAGCTACTCGAATGTGTACCTTGGAAATAAATCATTTCACACATTCATTATTTTAACATTAATTGTAAAACGATTATGCAAAATTCTTTCACTGACAAATGCAACATAAAATTGTTTTACAGGATTCTATAGAATAAAGAGCTAATATGCAGATGGTTGTCACACCCTCACACAGTCACGGCTCAGACACACAACGCTGCCTCCGCCTCGGCTGTGCAGATGGCCATCTTATGACATCACACAGGAGGGCCACTTGGGCTTTTATTAGTATAGATAGTATAGATGGCAGCCATCTTGTGACGTAGCGCGCAAGGCCACCTAGGCTTTTATTAGTATAGATTTTCATAGAATTCCAGATTATCATAATCACAGTCATAAAAAAGGATGGAAAAATAATAATTATCTTGGAAGCTCTCTAAATGTACTGTGATACCACTTCCTATACTTGCTTTTTTCTACAATAGATTTTATTTTAAAATCGGTATCTCATTTCTGTCATTTTAATTACTGAAATATTTAGAGTTAGAATAAGCTTTGGGATTTAAAAATATAAACTGGTATCGAGTTTATTACACTAGGGTTTGTTCTACATCTTCAAAAAAAGAAAGGAATCACGACTGTAAAAATTTAACAAGTGCTCTATTGTGCGGCTTTTGTCAGTTTTTTAATTAATTAAAAAGTGTTTTTAAATATTTATACTGATTTCAGAGAGGAAGAGAGAGAAACATCAATGATGAGAGAGAATCATTGACTGGTTGCCTCCTGCACGCCCCCTATTGGGGACTGAGCCTATAACCTGGCACGCCCCCTATTGGGGACTGAGCCCACAACCTGGGCATGTGCCCTTGACCAAAAATGAACCCAGAACCCTTCAGTCCATGGGCTGACATTCTATCCACTGAGCCAAACCAGCTAGGGCTATACTGACCTTTTTAATGTATTAAGGATTAAATTAGTATGTAGCTTAAGAGTGGTCATTACATATTCTCCACATTGCTGCAGTTATTCCTAAACACACACAATTAAAAAAAAGCCAATCCTATCTAATAAAAGAGTAATATGCAAATTGACCATCACTCTAACACACAAGATGGCCGTCCCCATGTCAACACAAGATGGCCTGCAGGGGAGGGCAGTTGGGAGGAACCAGGCCTGCAGGGGAGGGTAGTTGGGGGGGGACCAGGCCTGTAGGGAAGGGCAGTTGGGGGCAACCAGCCTGGCAAGGGAAGACAGTTAGGTGCAATCAGGCCAGCAGGGGAACAGTTAGGCTGATCAGGCTGGCACGCAGAAGTGGTTAGGGGCAATCAGGCAAGCAGGCGAGCGGTTGGGAGTCAGCAGTCCTGAAGGGGCAGTTGGACATCCCTCGAGGGGTCCCAGATTGGAGAAGGTGCAGGCTGGGCTGAGGGACACACAACCCCTGCACGAATTTCGTGCACTGGGCCTCTAGTTTATTATAATGAACTATGCATTTTCACTCACTGTCCTGAATTGCAATTTCTATGCCAGTATCATATTATTAACTATTGGTGGTTCTGGAGGTTTTAATTTTACTTACCTCTTTTGCACCAGATTCTTTCAGCAATTTGATTATGGGTGAGATGGTATTGCCTCTCACAATTGAATCATCTATAAGAACAATTCTTTTGCCCTTAAAGTTGTCCGACAATACTCCAAATTTTTTTGCAACACCAAGTTGTCTTAGCCTCATGTTTGGCTGAATGAAGGTTCTTCCTACATACCGATTTTTACATAGTACCTCCACATATGGAAGCCCACACTGATAGAGAATAAATAAAAGGATAATTAGCAGCAATATACAGGAAACTTTAGGTTTTTATTTTCTCTAGGTCATTTTTCAATATGCACATAAAAATTTTAAATGTGGTTGTTATTCTGAACTCTCCATTATGAGATTACAATTTCCCTCCATTATTTAAACTGTAGAGGAAAAGTACAAAAAAAAAAATCACTGAAAGTAATATACTTAGTGGGAAAACCAATTCACTTTATTAGAATTTGTAATGCTTCTCTCTTAAATATTATTATTATTTTTTTAAAATATATTTCATTGATTTTCTGCAGAGAGGAAGGGAGAGAGATAGAGAGCCAGAAACACTGATGAGAGAGAAACATCGATCAGCCGCCTCCTGCACATCCCCCACCGGGGATGTGCCCGCAACCCAGGCACATGACCCTGACCGGAACCGAACCTGGGACCCTTCAGTCCGCAAGCCGACGCTCTATCCACTGAGCCAAACCGGCCTCAGGCTCTCTTAAATATTATTATTTCTTTATCTTGGAAGAGAACACTAAGCATGTGAAGACATGTCAAAGAATAAATCACTGTCAGAAAAACTAACATATTTAAAAATTATCAGAAAGAAATTAAAACCAATAGGCTAAGGAAATGCTTTTTGCAGCATTTCTCCATCTTTCAGGCAATACTTCTCTAAAATCTGTGCACATTATTTCTTTAAAAGAATTAATGAACAAAGCTTTCCAACATAGTGAATGTTGAGTATTATATCCTAGGACCACTATCTATTATAATAAAAGTGTAATTTGCTAATTAGACCAGACATCCCTCCGGACGAAGCCGGGCTGCGAAGGAAGACCGGGTCCCAGATGCCTGCCAGCAACCAGAGAGAAGCCTGGGTCCCGGGTGCCAGAGGGAAGCTGGTGCCCACAGCCAGGGGAAGGCCTAATCTTGCACAAATTTTGTGCATCAGGCCTCTAGTAATTTTATAATCTACCCAGTTATGAAAAATATGAAATTAAGCATAGTACTAAGAACAGTATACAAAATGAACATAAATAGCTTTATTATCACCTATGCTCAATAAAAAATGAATATATAAGTGGCTTGTGATGGTACTTCAAGAAGTAGGTTTTAATAATAAGTAAGCATTACCACTAATGTCTATATATATTCATGACATTATCTTTTTAAAATGAAGATCATTCTCCTAGTCTTCAGGTGAAGTTTTTTGTGGACTCCACTAAAACAGTACCATGGAATGAAAAGGCTGGGAAATAAGTAACTTGTAAAGAAACTAACATTTTCTTTTTCTTTTTTACTTACAATAAACTAATGAGTTTCTCTTTTGATTTTATTATTATTTAAAGATGTTTTTACTGATTTGAGGGAGAGGGAGAGAAACATCATTGATCAGCTGCCTCCTGCAGCCCCCTATTGGGGATAGAGCCAACAACCAGGCACGTGCGCTCTGACCAGGAATTGAACCAGTGACCTCTTGGTGCACGGGATGATTGACGCTCAACCAACTGAGCCACACCAATTGGGCAATGAGCTTCTCTTTATAGGGAAGGGTTTCTAATTCCAGTGCTAAAAGAACAATTCACTGAGTGTCGAGAAAATACCTTTCCAGCATAACCAAGAGCAGCGGGCGTAGCAGATTCCGGGACAGTGCTAACCAAATCTGCATCCACAGGTGCTTCAATTGCCAGCTGCTGACCACAACGGTATCTTACTGTGTAAACCATTTGGTCTGGAATGTTTGAAAAAGGAAATAGATTATTTTTACATAGTGTAACAGCCTAATAACTAAGAAACTAGCTTGTTAGAACTCTACAGATTGAATACAAAAAACAAAGAAGACATACAAAAACACGCAAGTGGAAATACATAAACTGGGGAATTCACTATTTTTTAAAAGGGACTTTCATGCATATCTGAAAATCACAATCCTGACTCCTGAAAGGAAAACAACATCCAAGAGTCAGATGAAAAGAAAAAATTGTGATCTTATGACTTTTAGGTTCAGTGCCATATCCACAACATACAACTATGTGCCTTCAAAGAGTCAAATACGTGAATGCCTTTGTGCAATGAGATAAATACCAGATTTACATTGATAAAGGTATTTTACTTACCCTCAAATATGCTATCTGGTCTTGCAAAATAAACATATTCGAAGATACAAAAAGCCATTGGGTTTCCTTCAGACCTTTGTATAATATCAAGAGTTTGGACATTGTTTCTGGATATTTCCACTATTTCTCCAGGCAAGATTTCACGGTAATATCTTAGAAAATCATATTAAAGAAAGAAGACTTTAAATAAACTAGTCCTTAAAGCTTTTCGTAACATATGTAGTCTCTTCCTTTGTAACGGAAAAATAGTTCGATTTAATATAAAGTCTAGAGATAGCTAAAAAAAATAAACAATATTCCTTCAGCAGTAATATCTGTAAATCTAAATTCTAACTTAGAATTAAAAAAAAGAGAAAAGGCCGTAAGTTTTATTGATTTTTGAAAGAATAAAGGCTAAAAGAATATTTTATCCTGGCTTGAATTTTTTTATCATAATTACTCCTTGTTGAGGAGAATTCTTCCTTTCTAAAATAAGTCTCATGGTGTTTTGAAAGCAAGATTATAGTTTCAGAATTACAAAGTATTACTGGGACATTAAAGTTAAAGTCAATGTATCTGCAGAGAACTATGCACGAAAACCCCTGCATTTCTAAGTATATGTTATAGGTGACATCAAAAAGAAAACTTATGTAAAAATAAAAATTTTTGTTGATGTGGGAAAACCCAATACACCAAGAAAAATAAAACTTACCGTGCACCAATAGATAAAAAACTACAAGATTCTGAAGACACCACCCATCCTTCCGATTCTAAAGATTTTTTCTCTGTAAATCACAAGATAATCAATTCAGTTAATAGACTCAAGAAATGTTAAAAGGGGCTACCTATTTCAAGACAATTGAACACCAAGTAGATATATAATAAAAAATCCATAGAATATCCATTTTTATGACTTTAAGAGCACATGGGTCTTCATTTAACTAGAACCAAAGATAAAATTTAATAATCCCAAGTCCTGGCCCTGTGGCTGTTGGTTGGAGCATCGTCCCATATACTGAAAGGCTGCAGGTTCGATTCCCAGTCAGGGCATACCTAGGTTGTGGGTTCAATCCACAGTCGGGGCGTATGCAGGAGGCAACTGATGAATGTTTCCTCTCACATTGATGTTGATGTCTCTCTCTCTTTCCTTTCCCCTCTCTCTAAAATCAATACATATATCCTCAGGGGAGGATTTTTGAAAACATGAATGATCCCAAGATTCCTCCAAACATTCTGATTTCATGGCTCAAACAAGACATCTGATAAGAAAATCACTGAAATCATACTATACAAATGAAAAAGTTGGGCAAAGGATATGAATAGGCAATTCAGACAGTTAAAAATAGAAATGTCCCTTAAATATTAAAAAGTGGCTCATCCTCAGAAATACTCAAGGAAATGCACTCTAAAAATTATTATCATTTTCTTCTTTTTCACCTAGTCCCTCCTCACTCATAAGCTTCCTATATATCTAATGATTTCAGGGTATGCCAACAGAACAATGAAATTATATTCCTTCTGGAAGTTCATTACCTTTATTTTTCATATCAGATACAGGAATAAGTCGACCAATGCAGAGAGGGCGATTTCCATAAGGATCTCGTACTGCATAAATGACATCTCTGTGCATTATAAGTAGGGAGTATGCTGTGGGCGCTTCCTTCATTAAGTTTTTAATCCTAGAATTAATTAAATAATTGAATGAATAATTTCATTTATAAAAACATGCTAGGCAAAAAATCAACAACCACCAAAAAAAGAAAAAAGAAAAAAAAAAGCCAGGCAAAGCTTTCATTATCAGAGCAGCAAGCTTAAATTTATTACCTTGCTACCCAGTCTGGAGTATCATCTTGTTCCTGAGGAGGGGTATATGCCAGTAACTGGGTAATCATTTCACTATCAGAACTTGTTGACAGACCAATACCATGGCGCAGAAGCTGTTTAGAAGGCAGAAAAGAGCAATCATTAGAGAGAAAGCTCCACTGCACCCCCCAGCCATAGCCCACCATAATAGGAAGAGATAAGGCACTGTGTGGATGATCAGTTATGAAAATCCTGCCTTCTACTAATGGTATGTGTATATGATAATAGAGAACAATTGCTGGATGCAATTGGAAGTCTCTGAAGGTTTTCAAGCAGAAAAAAAAGTGCTTTAGGAAGTGTATATAAAAGCTTTTGAAAGCTAAGTTGGAAGGAATGTAGAGCTGCAATGGGGAAGAGCTGGGAAAGCATGGGATTTGGGAATGTGGTACTAACTTTCTCAGCCTCTGACACTCCTGACAAATAGGACACAATCCCATAAGAGTAGCACACTATAGCAGGGACTCTCAGGTCAGGTTTGTTGGCTCACTGATTAGAAGAAAGGAATCAATTGTACTGAACAATTACATGTAGAAGATATAATAAAAATTGGTTGAGTTCTGCTCACTGACGCTGCAGAGAAGATATTCTCCATCACTGCTCAGCAAAATCATATATGCTCACTGCTTAATCATCACTTGTACTTCTTCATTTCATCTTCCCAGTTTCCTTGCATTAGTATAGTGTCACTGGATTTTAAGAGCTTGTTTATGACTAAAGATGTTAATCATTTCTCATGCATTGCAAAATGAAATACTATGTTTTTTATTATTATTTTACTCTGGTGTTTTCCTTTTTGGTTGTATCAAACTTGTGTAGTAAATATAATCATATTGTTTAAAAAAAAATTGGTGGAGTACACTCAATGATGATCATGATGTTCTGAGAAAGACTGACCAGGACAAGGGCATCACCAATGTAATGCAAAGATTGAGTTTATACAAACACTACAGACCATTTTCAGTAGCCAGCTGAACGTGCAGAAATAAAGTCTAGCATCTAGTTATGGGGTTTTAAGGTTATGTCTAGCAATAATGACCTAGGTATTGACCTGAACTGTTAGTGTTTACCTCCAACTGGTGAGTTTTTAATTAAACATTTATGCTTTCCTGATTTTCTGAATTAAAACATTATTTTTAAATTTGGGAACACAAAAACATACATAATATTGTTATATGAAATGCCAGAGCCCGAGAAGAGGGCAGGAAGGACAAAGCTCTGAGGAAAAACTTAAGCTAGAATAAAAAATAGTAGGGCAGGTGGTACAGAAATGTAGGTTCTATATATTTTCCATTCACAATTCACCATCATTCAGTTGCTGTAACTATTTATCCCATATGAATGCCTGATTCTAAGGAGATAATGGAGTGTGAGAGTGTGTATATGTGTGTGCGTGCATGTGTGTGTATGTGTAACCTATTATTAAATACCCCTTGAGGTTTTTATTTCTGAGATTACCAAATCAAGATTATGGGAATCTGCCGAAACCGGTTTGGCTCAGTGGATAGAGCGTCGGCCTGCGGACTGAAAGGTCCCAGGTTCGATTCCGGTCGAGGGCATGTACCTGGGTTGCGGGCACATCCCCAGTAGGAGATGTGCAGGAGGCAGCTGATCGATGTATCTCTCTCATCGATGTTTCTAACTCTCTATCTCTCTCCCTTCCTCTCTGTGAAAAATCAATAAAATATATTTAAAAAAAAAAAAAAGATTATGGGAATCTAATGAACTAAAGAAACCTGGTATTAATTAATGAATGGCAAGAATGGATGAATATGAAGCTACCAGGAATATAAAAATACCAGGTACTTTTTAAAAAGGGGGGAGAGGAAGATGAAATGATGAATGAAGGAATAGGCACAATTAAAACAGAAAGCTTCAAGAACTGCCATGTGAACAAAACAATATAATTCTCTTTGCACTTTTCTCAGACTGATTCCTATAACTGTTTCCAAATCTCTTTTTCTTATATTTACCATATCAAAGTTTATATTCCATTTTTTTACATGCTTTTAACACAGGGACAAAGCTAAAGTGATCGTAAGAGTCTATAAACCCTAATTTCTCTGTGCTTCTCATACCAGCTGTAAGTCAAATTTTCCAAATCTCTAAAGCAGTACATCAGAATCTCCTTAGGAGCATATTAAATGCAGGCTCAGCACTCCCACCCCAGACTCTGGGGTGATACCTTGGAGTCTGTAATTATAGCAAGTACTCCAGGTAATTCTGATAGTTGTTCTTGCAGTTAGGTAATGGGTGGGAACAATTAGAAAACACTCTTTACCAAGATCCTCAGTAACTTCTTTTTATTAATTTACCCCAATCATGAAAAAGCGTTTTTTAAAAAAACCTACCTTTTTCCTTAATCGAGCAGCGTTGACCAATTCGCCATTATGTGCCACAGCTATTTTCCCATGAAGTGTTTCAACAACAAAGGGCTGACAGTTTTCTAATTCAGAGTTTCCTGTGGTGGCATACCTCGTATGTCCAATTCCAAGATTTGAAGGATATAATTTCTTCAAATTATCTTCAGTAAAGACATGATTTATAAGACCCATTCCCTTGCAAAGTCAAAGTAAAAGCTCATCTTAGAAAAAAACACAAAAACAAACTATTGGGCTAGTGAGTAGAGGCTTTAATAAGCCTCTGCTCAAGCACCCCCAAGTTAGACAATGCAGTCTGTGTTCCGGAATTCTAATATTAAAAACAGATGAACCTAATTATAAGAACTGTATAGCACTAAAAAAATTTTTTTTGAGGTGGAATTCACATAATAAACTAACCACTGTAAAGAAAACCATTCAGTGGCATTTAATACATTCACAACGTTGAAATGCTTGTTTCATGAGATACTTTTTGTTGAAACATTGAAGGACAGGTGTATTAAGTAATAAAACTTGTCAAATATAATAAACTAAATTATTTGCATTTTAAAAATTCAAAGCATCTTAAATGACCTGTTTGTGTCAGTCTAGCAAACTATCACTGGGAAAGAAATGCATCCTAAGTTGACAAACAGAAAAGACTGATATAAAGAGTAACTTCTGCCAAAACCGGTTTGGCTCAGTGGATAGAGCATCGGCTTGCGGACTGAGAGGTCCCAGATTCGATTCCGGTCAAGGGCATGTACCTGGGTTGCGGGCACATCCCCAGTGGGAGATGTGCAGGAGGCAGCTGATCGATGTTTCTGACTCTCTATCTCTCTCCCTTCCTCTCTGTAAAAAATCAATAAAATATATTTTTTAAAAAAAAAAGAGTAACTTCTATGTGCAAATTATTTATTCAAACTTCCTTCTCCCACCCCCATATACTAGCTAACATCTGGCTACTGTTATCTTTATAATCCGCTTTTTAATGTTTAAATATACCTTGTGTGTTCTGTATGTCGGTACTGAATTCCCATCACTGATGACAATACCAGCACTCTCCTGACCCCTGTGAAAATAAAAAAGTATCAACTTAAATTTATCCCCTTGATATGGTTAATAAACTTTATGAAACATCCTTTTCACAAAAGAATTGATGAAGTCAGTCTGACAACACATTAAATGCTACTAGTACTGCCTGGCCATCATGGCTCAGTGGTTGAGCTTTGACCAATGAACCAGGAGGTCACTGTTCGATTCCCAGTCAGGGCACATGCCCAGGTTGCGAGCTCAATCCCCCAGTATGGAATGTGCAGAAGGCAACCGATCAATGGTTCTCTCTCACCATTGATGTTTATCTCTCTCTTCTTCTCCCTTCCTCTCTGAAATCAATAAAAATATATTTTTTAAAAATACTACTAGTACTGATGTCACTTCTATTCATGACAATGATTATCAGTAATATAATACTGTCTGACTTCTAACATGCCAGACACTGTCCTAAGCATTTACATGAATGATCTAACTTATTAGACTTTCACAATAATACTATGAAGTAGGTACTGTGATTCCCATTCCCATTTTACAGATGAGGACACTGAAGAAACAGAAGTTAGATAAATTGCCCAGTGAACAAGGAAAGCAGTGGCACAGCCAGGAGTAGAATACAGACAATCCGACTCCAGCTCTTGTGCTTCTAACGTCTGTCCTGTGTGACCTCTAATTAGGCTGAGTGTGTGGATGAGTACATGGATATAAATTAAAACCTCCAAATAACATAGCAGGTAAAATGCTTAGTTGTGGTACTGAAATTATAAGCAAAATTTACCTTAATGCTTTCCTGCATTTTCCAAATTTTCTCTAACAACACTTTTGTTATTAGAAAAAAATAAATGTTTTTTTTTAAAACCCTACGCCTATCAGGCAATCTGTATCTCATTTCCTGCATTAATAATTTATTTTTGGGTAATGATATATAAAAGAAAGCCAAAACCTAGCCCAGAGGTAGGATATTACATGGTAAACACCCGGTGCCCAGGCCGCGAAAGGACCAAGAAATCATTTGGTCTGGCCTTGCCATGGCATTAAAGGTGGGTTAATTAAATGTCTGACCAAATATAGCACTCTAATTTTTAGTTGATAATTTTGTATGGCCCAAGAACGATATTATAAATATCCAAATGGTCCTTGGCATGAAAAAGGTTCCCCACCCCGGTAGAGGATCTGCACCACTTTGGAGTACAAACTCAAAATGATAAAATAAAGCTTATAGCACAGCTGGTGTGGCTCAGTGTTTGAGTGTCAAACTATGAACCAGGAGGTCACCATTTGATTCCCTGATTCCCCAGATTGAGGGCTTGATCCCCAGGGGGAGGGGGCGTTCAGGAGGCAGCCGATCAAGGATTCATTCTCTCTCATCACTGATGTTTCTCTCTCTCTCTCCCCCTCTCTGAAATCAATAGAAAGATATTTTTTTAAAATTTATTTTTAGCCCTAATCGGTTTGGCTCAATGGACAGAGCATCGGTCTGCGGATTCAAGGGTCCCAGGTTCAATTCCGGTCAAGGGCATGTACCTTGGTTGCAGGCACATAGCCAGTGGGCAGTGTGCAGGAGACAGATGATCGATGTTTCTAACTCTCTATCCCTCTCCCTTCCTCTCTATAAGAAATCAATATAATATATTTTTTTAAAATGTTTTTTAAATAAAGCTTCTAATTACTCAATAATTTTTAATGATTCTCAATAAGAGTTCTACATACTAGATGTTTATTAACAATTTTTTTCTAGAGAATATATATCAGTGTAAAATAAAAGTAAATGTCTACCATATATTTATGCATACATTAATAATACATTAATTTATTTGGTAAAGAGAATCTTTTTCACAATTACATACTGTAATTGTTTAGGCATTTTAATAACAAAAATGACATTAAGTTACTTGCAGAGTAAAAAAAAAATCTAAAAAATTAAAATTATTTTACAAAATTATCAATGCATTAAATACTATGCTGAAAATAGATATGCATAAGATTATATACCCTAACATACTGAATAATTTGTGACTTAGGATTTCTTTCTTTAGTGGTCTTTAAGTTAATGATACTAGAAGACTAAGAGATTCAAATCAGAGAAAAAATAATTAAGGTTAGCCATAAACCTTAGGGCAGAAAGAATCTCTGCCAACCATTCCCAGGACAATTTTTTTTTTTGCCACTTCATCTTATTGTTTAATAATCCCTCCCAATGATATTAAACATTATTTGGGCACTTAAAATGTGCTGGGCACTCTGTTAGGAGGTGGAAACAAAGATGGATTAAAATTTGAAGCTTGCCCTGGAAGGGCTCACATTTTGGCATGAGAGACACACAAATAGCAGGTAAATTCTGAACAAGACCACAGAAATCCTGTGAAAGGCACATTGAAAGTGTTATGAGAGCCCAGAAAAGCATGACCCAACCTAGCCTGGTAAGGAGTGAGTTCTTTTGGGGATACATGGCAGGTGAGGAGAGCAGGGTTTCTTGCTTCTTGGAAAATGAGACAAAGAGTACTAAGGACACAGAAACGGAAAGACCACCACGTGCCTCTAAAACATATTCCCCTTCCCCCTTGACTCTCCTGTGGCCAGCTGTGAAGAAACATAAAAGCAAGAGCTTAACTAGACATGTGGGGGGTTCTATGTTGCATAATCAGCTTGTTAAAGTAAGTACAATGTGTAGTGTCCCCAAACCCCCAAGAGATAAGGCCAAAGCCTGTCTAATAGCTCTGAGTCAATGTTACTGAAGAAGCCCAGAGAAGAGTGCAGTACCGGCAGCTTTCCAAAAGTTCCCCTGTTGGGGTCCAGCCCCAGCAGGTCCAGGGGTTCCCAAAGGTGTGGACGGAGTCAGCAAAGAAGGAATGACACGGAGACAGGGTTCAGTTGATCAGCAGCCTAGCCAGGCTCTCTAGCCAGGATCTCCAGCCAAGTTCTGTCCCAGAACAATTTTTAAAAAATTAATAACATTTAGTGAACCAGATTAAATCATGTAAGAAACTAAATCTTTAAACAAAATGGTTTTTAAAAAAAAAAAAAAGGTTTCCTGCCCTAGCTGGCTTGACTCAGTGGATAGAGCGTCGGCCTGCAGACCAAAGGGTTCCGGGTTCGATTCCAGTCAAAGGCACATGCCCGAGGTTGCGGGCTCAATCCCCAGTAGGGGGCATGCAGAAGGCAAACAATCAGTGATTCTCTCTCATTATTGATGTTTCTATTTCTCTCTCCCTTTCCCTTCCTCTCTGAAATAAAAATAAATTAAAGAAATGGTTTCCTTCCCTTTTGTCTCAAGGGTAATTTTTCCCTAACAGCTGAAAGGAATAATGTTTGGAATCACTTAGGTCCTGGAGTCTTTTATTACAAATTCCTGTTTAATGCAGTTTCTTAAGTTGCTCCCCTCAGGCAGTTTGAAGCATTTAAAATAGATCATTTCAGCTCTTTGGAGCTTACTTCTCTCTGTTTACTGGTTACCTTGGAAACAAAAGGCTAGAAATAGTGAATCATTTGCAGGTCACTTTCAACATGGAGAGAGGAGCAAGAAAGCACTGGACTGAGGAAGAGTGTCTGGACTGAAATGATCTAGTTAAACTGGCCTGCTTATACCCTGTGACACTCATGGACTCACATTCTACAGGGTCCTGGGCAGGGATCCCAGGGCCAGGTCTGGAATCTTGGGGGATGGAGCTGGGGTAGTTGATGGCCGCCTGCACCTCCCTCTCACCTGGTGCTCAAGAGGGGCGCTGTTCCGGCTGGGGCTGCAGACGCCTTGTCCCCCAGAGCCCTGTCCCCCAGAGCCCGGCCCCACCGCCTCCCAACACTGGGTCAGCATCCCCCTGCGCCCCCAGGCTGCCTCCACCTCCTCAGGCCATGTTGCGGAGCCACCCTAGGGCTCAGCGCGGGCCAGGCAGCCAAGCAGACTCACAGACCCCAGTGCTGCCACCTCCCACCAACAGTTTCTTAACAACTTTCGTACCGCTCATGAGCGTTATCATGTTTCAAGCGCCATCTGTTAAGGACCTTAGATGTCAACACACTGTCTTGTCCACTTTGAATGAAGCGATCTCATTGATGGAAACCGTGCAGGTCAATCTACGAAAAACTATATAATTGCACGAACCCATAAAGCATTGCAGTTACGTTGTATTTTGGTCATTAAAATATCTTCGACTTCAGCACAATCATAGCCAACGGCTGTGGTTGTAAGCTTGAACCTATGGTCCGAACACGTGGCCCCACGTGCCTTTGTACACCCAAAAGGTTGTTAGGTGATATGAAGCAGCATGAACCTACTTGTATTCCAGTGAGTGGAAAGAAAAAATTTCCTACGAGAGCCTGCATAGTTTGTGCCGCCCATGGAAAAGGAGCAAATCTAGATACTTGTGTAAATTTTGTTTGGTCCCTCTTCATAGAGGAAAATGTTTTACGCAGTACCATACGTTAAAAAAGTACTAGGAACTTTAATTGTTTAATTGTTTTTGTAAATAAAAATGTTATAATTACTGAAAAATAAGGCCTAAAGTGCATTATGATCTGTAGTTATGATTTAGATAATGTGCAGTTTGCCCAAAAACGTGCAGTCCCCGGCGTATGTCTTAGAGATTTCTATACGGTACGAAATGTATTAAAATGTTGACCACCCGTCTGCTGTAAAGTCTGAAGGTGAAAATTGCTAAAGCCACTTAGCCTTACTCTCCTTTACATGTATTACAGTAAGGTTAGTTCTTATTTACAATTATAGGCCCAGTGCATGGATTTGAGCACCGGTGACCTGGCCTGCGGGGATCAGCCAAAACCGGCTCTCTGACATCCTCCAGGGGTGCAGAATTGCAAGAGGCTGGTTCTCAGGTGATGTACCCAGTCATCAGGCTCCCTCCTCTCTGGTTCTTCACCCAAGAACTATAGCTGTTAAGTCACCACAGCTTGGCGGCTCCTGTGTTTAGTGTCTGCCTCCTGATTTTCATTGTATGTCATATTTACCATCCAGTCAGCTGATCACCTAGCCTTTTATATATATACACTAGAGGCCTGGTGCACGAA